TACATACATACATACATACACACAATTACGTATTCATACATGTACATATACATACATACCTACATACATACATACATACATACATACATACATAAATATATATATATATATGCATATCTTAAATTTACCGATGCAACAGGTCGCGAAATCTGACGACATTCAGTCGGTCTTGTCACTAGTTTGATAGTTTAGCGCGTTGAATGGATTCCATACGAAGTTGCTGTTGGGCACACATGTATACTTTAGCGACGTGATTGAACATGCATGTAAGGTACTTGCCTATTACCAAACACTCTTGTGAAATTAGCCCTGTCGCTCTGTACAAAACTAGATACCAATCTCTGCTTGAAGACGCTACTAAGAGAAGACCACTTCATTGACTGCCTTCGTCTGTTCATCATGTACGGAACTACACTCTCTCCTACTACAGGAGTGTTCAGTGGCCATCATGTATCAGGTGCGAAGTTGAACAGGCTCGGCACCTGAAAGATGGACATGACCTAAACGACTCACAAGCTTAAGATGAAGCAAACGCAGAATAAGCATGTAAAACTCTCAGCTGATACAGCAAAGCGAGAACGCGAGAACAACAAAGTCATTCAAGAAGTAGTCAAAACACTTTCCTCACGAGGAGTACAAAGTGTAATAAGCAGCCAAAGCATGTTTGGTCTGCACCAATAACAAGCCTCGCTCAGCTGGTTTTGAAGAACAAGTGTGTTTGCTGTATATGCCATGGTCATATTAAGAGTGTTGGTGTATGTTCGCAATAGTGCAACAGCACCGATATGAATCTTTAAACAGTAATAGCTGGTAGGTATACGCTTAATCAGAATGTGAATACATGTTGGACTCAACAAATAGTACATTTACTTTATCATATCTGGTTCGTATGCAATAATGTGAATAGCAGCTGTTGAGTAGTTTACCACTTACCCTGAGTGAATCGCCGGAAGACTGTACCTAGACGTTCTGTTTATTGAGACATAGAAAGCCACGGGGAGGTACAGACTGTTACCTGGGTTGGTCTTTCTGGAGCGACCAGATCGGTGACTATGACCACAGTGATAAAGACAGTGGTACTGATAACAATATCACTGGTAAATGTAGTAGTGAAGCCACACTTGATACTGGCATAGATTTACATATAAGTAGTACTTTAATGTATTTAGATACGACCCAGGATGGAAGTGGAGATTGGCAAGGTTTGTAGGGACACGACCACGATCCCAGACGATTCAAGCACAAAGCGTGGGTACATGAGGGGCTAGCTTATGTATAGTATATATACATATACATATACATATACATATACATATACATATACATATACATATACATATACATATACACATACATTTATATATCTATATATATATACACGCCACTCTTTCCGTTGACTGCTTCTTCGGCCTCTGGAGTGGCTGCTGCCCAGATGGCCACCGCTGGGGTTGTCGGAGGATCCTGGGGAGCCCGGTCGACAGGCAGGGGCGAAGGCTCCATCCACTGTCCTCAGCTTCAGCAGGGACAAAAAAAAGGGGGAGGCTGGGTTCCAAGACGAAGGATTCCATACGGGATCTACATCGGGCCATACGATGAAAGGCTTTCAGGTGCAGGGCTTCTTTGGGGAGGCTTTGGGTTTGCCGGAGATGTGCCGGCTCCATGCGCTCCATGCGGCGCATGAGGGTGATTCGAAAATCCTTCGCAACGCAAGCACCCGCAGTTGAATGAAGGGTCTTGGCACAGGTCACGCATAACCCGACAAGATGGCTAGGGCCGAGGGGCCCATGCCCGGTGTATGGACAGCGCAGAGCCGGCGCATGAGCGCTGTGTCGCCTTGGATCCGCTCCTTCACCAGGCGGATGATGTGCAGGGATCCTCCACACGGGCAGACCTACGACCCTCTACTCCTAACCCAAACCCAAGAAATCTAACACGACCCTAAACCCCAGTATCCTCAACCAGTGTCCATAGAAAGACCCCAAAGTAACGCCAGGACCTCACCGTCCTTGCGAGTGGCCCGCCAGGACGAATGGACGCTGGCTGCCGACTTCCGACAAAAACTGCTCAAAGGCAGCCAAGACGTCCTCGCTTGCTCTGCTCCGTTGGTTTTTGCTCCACGGACGCCTTTTGCACTGTTCTCAATTCAGGGACTCGCAGGCATGCAGTGGCATCCTGATGGCACACACCTGCTTCCCCACAAAAAAAAAAAAAACACCTTCCTCTCAACGTGCTTAGGACTCCATTCTTCCCTCGGCGCACCCGAAAAGACCGGGAAAGGAGCAGGTCCTGGTAGGCGAGGTCCCAGGAGCCACCCATTGCGGCCTTTGGAGAGCGAGGCGGAGAATCTCCGTCTTTTGGACTGTGTGTCTTTTTGGGGGTGGCCGGGGGCGTGGGCCGTCGGTCATTGAGGTTCAGGGGTTTGGGAGGCGAGTTGCAGGAGGGTTTGGAGCCATTTTGAGGTGCTTCTGCGGCCTGGCGGTAAAGAGGAGCGTAAGCTCGACAGGCAGAAGTGAAGGCTGTGACAATGGTCATCTGGTGCCGAGTGTTGAACGCTTTGCTCTGGAAGGCCTCCTGGCATCCGCATCTCCGATTAAGGCTAGTTTTAGGTGCGGTAGCCTCTTCCCACATCCGGTCGAAGCCTGCTCAATCCAATTAAGGGGGTTTAGGGTTTAGGCTTTGGGTTTAAGGTCTGGGAGTGAAGGTTGACAGATCTCTGAGCGATCGCTCAATGGGGACTTCAATCTTGGAAGTGCCCCCCACGCAGAATAATGTGTAACATAGAATATACAATGTTTGATGCATACTATGCAATATATAACATATATCTATATACATATGTATGTATAGACATATGTATATGCATATATTTATAAATGTATATATATATATATAGTATTATATATATACATATATATATATATTATGTATTGTGCAGGTTAAACATAATAACCCCCATATATATATAATATCATAGTATATATATATATGCATATGTATATGTAGTCTTGAACTTTTAAATATATTCGAATAGATTATACAACCTTATTTAGATTCTACTTTACTAAAAAAATACTATAGTACATTATAGTATTGTAAGTTGCAATATGCAATACAAAACAGATACAACATACAATATGCAATATAATATACATATATACATATATATACATATATAGAGAGAGAGAGAGAAGAGAGACAAGAAAGTAGATAATAGAGAATACAAAATGAATAAGAGATCATAGAATATGTAACAGTTGAGCCTTGTCTTCGTGTCGAGCCAGGCCTTGTCGTAGCGATCGATGGAGGCCCGGTTCCCGATGCCCTCCATCGTGCCATGCAGGTAGAAGAGGTCTGCTGCCACCTCAGATGACTGGTCGTCGCCTTGGTTCCATATGGCCCCAACAAATGAGCTATAGTCGAAAATGGATTACAAAGGTGACTAGAGGGGATACTACGGGAGATCGTCGGAGTTTAGACTCAAGCTCACATGGGCTTGCAGAGCTTCCAAGCTGTGTTCAGAAGGAGCTAAGCCTTGAGGCTTTTCAGGGACTTTTCAGGGACTTCTGAAAGATCTAAAGCCAAGTTGCTATACTGGTCCGTTGCTTCGCAAGTCTTCGTTCCGTCGGGTCGCAAACTGCAGATGGTCTTTGGCAAATTTTCTGCAACCCTCCTGGCAGGCTTCTTGCTCGAGGCACTCAGGGTGCACAACCGTTCAACCATACAACAAATACAGTACTCTCTACTGTAACAACACCCATGCTTCTAAGCATGCGACGCTGTTCTCCGCAGCACCACACTAGACAAGACTAGACCACTGTGCTTATGCTAGGCTAGACCTGTGCTGCACTGTAATTACTGTGCAGCACCGTACTCTTGTCTTACGGATCCTGCAACATGGTCCAGTTTGCGATGATGCGATACAGAACTGATTAGCAGACCATATTACGGTTGATGATATAAATTCCCGCATTACCCATAATCAGGAATGTACCAGATTTTTTGGGGGTCCTTAAGGTCATGCAGGCTCTATATCATCAACAGTATGTCTTGGTCGGGCCTTGGCCAGTGGACCGGATGTGCGAGCCAGTACGCGGGAAGTGAGAAGTCCGGCGGATCGCCTGGCAGGATCCTGGGTGGCAAGGGACTAAAGGAGAGACCCTTAAAGGGACCCTTGGGGTTATATAAGGGCTATATAGGGTATTAGGATTCCTTATAAACAGGACCCCAAAAGGGACCCAAATTTAGAAAGTAACCCAAACAAGCAAACCCTAAACCCTAAACTCCTAAACCCCAAAATTAAATAAAAAACCCCATAACCCCTATTTATTCAACTCATTAAAAGTCCTTAGCACGAAGCCCAGGAGCTGCCCTTCCAGGCGACGCCAAGGCCAGAGCCTCCTTAGGCAGCCCGCGAAACAGGAGTCCTCCGCGGGAGAGCAGGGAGAGAGGGCCTGGGCCTAGAAGGGAACTCTGGGGCTTATAGGGTTTTTCTTGTTTTTCTTAAAGGCCTTTTGGTGTCTGCACGAATGCGTCTCCAACCCTTGCGGCTTATAGGGTTTAGGGTTTTAGGGTTGTGGTTTAGGGTTTCTTTGGGCGTTTACGGTTTTTGGTGGTTTAGGGTTTTTGGGGTTTGGGGTTTCGAGGTTATAGGTTTAGGGTTTAGAGGTTGAGGGTTCGGGGTTTAAAGTTTAGGGTTCGGGGTTTAAGGTTTAGGGTTTTGTTTTTTGGGATTGTTTGATATTCTTGGGTTTTGGTGGTTTTAGGGTGTGGGTTTACTTTAGGGTTTAGAGGTTTAGGGTTTAGCGTTTGGAGGTTTAGGGTTTCGAATTTGGGGTTTAGGGTTTGGAGGTTCGGGGTTTAGGGTTTAAGGTTTACGGCTGAAGGCTTAGGGGTGAGGGTAGGGATTTTGTGTTTGCAGGCCCAGACAAAAGCAAATAAGCACGCGGTCGTCGGGTTGGACATAGGGTCTCTTAATCACCCTGTCAGATTCTGAATACCCAGACCTTTCAATATCCCTTGTAGATTTAAGGAATATACTTGAAATTATTGTAGGATCCTTAATATGACCTAAGGCTAAGGCAGCAAAAAAAGGTTGCGGGGTATTGGGAGGTCGGAGTACCAGCCATAACGCCCTCGCCCTACTTTCACGAGGATTCCGGGCCGATGGTTGAAGAACACGCCTGTGGAGTTGTTTTGGTTCAGTATAGTGTTTTTTTTCATTGGAGGTTCATGGTTAGCTATAAGAGGGCTTTTGGGTCCCTTAAGGTTTGCAATGGCTATAGTGCTCCCTAAACCCTAAACCCTAAACCCCTTATAATAACCCTAAACCCTTAACCCTTAAACCCTGCACCCTTAACCCTTAAACCCTGAACCCGTAAATCCCTTATAAACCCTACCCTATAGCTAACCCTGAACCTCCAGGTCAACCGCCTGGGCCCTAAACCCGAAGTGAAACCTTAGAAGCATTCCGAAACCTTTATACCCATAGGCTCCTTAGTAGTTCCTGGTTTGGAGCTTATGGGTACAGCCCCACGAACCTCCTATTAAAAGGATGATATCCTGAAGAACACCCGATATAAGGTTCTACAACCCGACGGAACCCTGTACAACTCCTCCATATACACCCTGGCGCAGGGCAAGCGCCTGGCTGCTGGAGACTCAGGACATGACCTCCTTTCCTCCAACTTGTGGTCGTTTTTGTTGTTGTCGTGTTGTTTGCTTTTGATTTGTTGTAAGGTTTGTAATGGTTTTTGAGGGTTACTAGAAGAACTTGAGCTTATAGGTCTTGTGTATGGCTACTATAAGAGTTCTGATGACTGAAAGGTTCTATCAGGGCTAGTATACAAGGGGTTTGAGTAATTCAAAAAGTTTAGGGCCTAAGGGTGTAGGGCTTTAGGGCTTCAGGTTTCAAGTTTGAGAGTGTTGTAGAGTTTTGCTAGGGATGTATGAGGGTTCCGGGCAACATAAGGGTTCAGGAATGTAGGGTGTAGGCTTCACACGGGTTTCATAGATTTTTGACAGGTGTTATAGGGCGCGGCGTAAGTGTATTATTATGTATGCTATATATATATATATATACTCTTTTTTTTTTGGGGGGGGGGGTTGGAGACTTGGGGTGCTCCTCTAGGTCCCTCGGTTGTTCTCATGTCAAGGATTTTTGTTTGTGTTTTTTGAGGTTTCCAGCGCTTCAAGCTATGGCGAAAAGTTGGGGTTTGGAAGTTGTTGTTAGGTTCATGCTCCAGGCTTTGGATGAAAGTGGTAGTAAACATCACGCCCCGTAGTGATGCTTTATAGGCCCCAAATAGCAGACACCGCAACATGCATATGCAAAGCCCTACCCCAACCATTAAGTCCCTAGATTGTCGTAGCGTAGACTTGGGAACTTTGACTTTCTGGTGGCCTCATGATTGGCATCCTTCCGTTGAAGTTTTGCAACTTTCTTTGCAGTGTCGGAGCCCTAATGGTTCGAACGGAGGAGTTTTAGGGTTTAGGGCTTTTGGGTTTTGGGTATTTACGTAGCAGCATATTCATCTACATTCTTGTATCCATATCCTCTACTTGAAGGGGCGCTAAGGTATAATGTTCCTAATCATGCAAGAATCGTTAAGTAGGAACTCAGGGTGCTTGAGTAATTTCTAAGTCCTGCCCTTTAAGTTTGTTTGTCGGTATAGTTGCCGCATCAATCCCGCGCAAACCCCTGTGGAATTATTCAGGCTTCTATATTGCAGCAGAGGGGTTTCCTGTTTGTATGAACCCCTTCAAGCCCGAAACCGAAACAGTCGTCCCTACAAGCCGAAGAAGCCCCTTAAAGCCTGAACTTGAAAGCACCAGACAACCTCGCTGGTACCTAAACCCTGATCAGACACTTGCACAACCCTGGCAGAGCTGTTACACCAAATAGTCGCACCCTGATAGAATCCCTTAACTCTAAAACCCGCCCGTAGCCCCAAACCCCGGACCTGGGTAATATGGCAATCTAATGGTTTGTCGTGCGCACGTCTTGGCCTTCGCGCACAGCTTGCTGAACCGCGTTTCGACATGTTTCTAGACATAGCATGTTCATTTTCGTGTGCCATGTTTTTCGACAACAGTATGTGAACAACGTAGAATCTTGCTTAGCCAATCAAAAACGTGGGAACTGTATCGGAATTGGCCTATCTTTAGAGAGGAGTTGCTCATCAGGTATCGCAGCAGGATAGCAAGATGTATCGTCGAAGTTTTGGGGGGAGGGGGGGGTGGGAGCGCGCCCAGGAAATGGCTCGCGATAACGAAGTGCGCTGCAGCGCCAAAGTATCAGCCGTCAGGACAGCATGGACGGTGCAGTGACCACGGATAGCACCTTAGACACATTGACCACGGGATCCAACTACTTTTTCTTCGATGAGCAAAGCTTGTTGCATCCCATCTCACTGATGGCCTGTCTCAGTTACGACTTCAACGTGGCTGCGCTTCACGAGTTGGAGCCGGGCCCCTTTTTGACAAGGCTTGGGCCCCCCCCAACCCCCCGCGAGTTGGAGCCGGTCCGCCCCATGACAAGGGTTGCACCTCCAACCCCTTCGCGAGTTTGGAGCAGGCCCCCTTCTTGACAAGCGTTGCACCCCCCCCCTCCAAATGCCCTTCACGAGTTGGACCCGGCCTGGTTCTTGACAAGGGTTGGACCCGGCTGCGTTGCATAAATTCTGGTTTGTTCAAGCGGCCTTGGGTTTGGCCTTTGGAAGAGGAGCGGTGATTGCAAAAAGGACCATTTTGGGGCTTTTGTGGGGTGCCCCCGCGTGTGGGCGGCTTCCTGACATACCTTTCTTTCTCACTTCTTCACGAGTTGGAGTCGGCCGATCTCGGGGTTCCCCCATGCCCGTCCCGCAGCCGCCCTCGAAGCCGACAGCGCTCCGGCAGGGACACGTCGCCGTAGGAAGATTGGGACCTGGCGAAGAAAAAGCTTAGGGTTAGTACGAGGATGTGTTCTGTACTTTTACTTATTTATTCAATTCGGGCTCCGCTAGATTTGGGGGTCAAACCACCAAGCTCATCCGGCTTAGCCACCACCGCTGACCCGCCTCCTGGCGGACCCGGCGCTGTCCACTTAAGAGTACCCTGAAAGAATCCCGCTTTAGCACCCTACTATGCCCGCTGATCCGAGAAGTGGATCCCGAAGCCCACAACTTTTAAACTTCCTTGGAAACCCATCTAGACATCTTGAAAAGCCCTTGCTAAACCCTATAGAACGCTCTATCCTCTGAGTATCATAAGGGCCTTTATCAGAGTAGAAAGCGCGCTGCTTCTTCCGGCACCCGCCAGAACTTTTTTCAGAAAGCCCACATGAGAACCCGCCAGCACAGCCTCACAGAAGGCCCAACCCAGAAGGGACCGACTCATAGAAAACCGACGTGTGCTGCTGCTTTCGATTCTGCCTGGGCCCTGTTGAAGATAACCACCATCGTCGGCGATGCCAAAGCCCTTGCCGATAGAACAAAACCCTAAACTGTTTGAACTCAGGGTGGTCTTGGGGTGGGCTGTCTGCTACNNCGGCCTGGGTGTGCACACACCAGCAAACACCCACGACGTTACGACACCTTAAACCCTAAACCCTAGACCGGGAAAGGAAAAGCTAACTCTCATCCGGCCCTTATAGAACCAGGTCTATCCGTGCATCTCCAAACCTACTCTATCCGAATATTTGGTGCTCTTAGGATTTGTGTTTTGTCTTTACCCAAAGAGTCCAG